CAACACCCAGCTGATCCTGAGGGGCATAGACAGGCCCCTATTCAAGGTGCCCGTAGCCCGGGTGCATCTGAAATGGGGGGCCAAGGAGGCCCCAGGGAAGTGGGGGTCACCGGCACTTGCTGATGGGGAGAGACCTAGAGGAGTGGCCAGACGGACCCCACAGGGCCCTGGTCACCTCCCATAGCCAGAGCCAGCGAGGGGCTGGTGACCCTGACCCAGGGGAGGGCTCCCTGCAGGGGCTCAGGGCCCGGCCCCATCCCAGCAGACACAGGGCTAGTGGGGGAACAGGTCCCTGTCCCTGCTCCAGCTGCAGACTTCCAGGCGGAGGTGCAGGCGGATCCCCCCTTGCAGGTGCCGAGGGACCGGACTGGCCTGGGCACCGCTCAGCCCCTGGGAAGGCGGCCAGGAGAGGTCCCTGTGGGAGGGGGGATTCCTGTGCCGGGAATGGCAGGTGGGGGGATGGGGGCTCCAGGGGCAGCTGGCGGTTCCCCAAAGGTATCGCCCCAGGCTGCTGTACCTGGCCCACGACGTCCCATTGGCGGGGCACCAGGGGATCCGGCGCCCCCGGCTGAGGCTGCTCCGGCGCGTCTCCTGGCCGGGGGCATTTGCGCCGTGCAGCGGGACTGCCGGGCCTGTGACCCCTGCCAGAGGGGCGGGAGGCCCGAGACGGGGGGCGGGGGGGAAGCTGCCTGAGGCGCCGGCCCCTCGTCGAGGAGCGGTTCTGGGCACGGGGAACAAATACACCCTGGGAGCCGTGGATACGGCCGCCCACTGCCCCGGGGCCGGGGCCCTGCCCTCTAGCGAGCAGACACGGGGGCAGACGCGCTGCTGGCCCTGTTCAGCGGGGGGGTTCCCCAGGAGTCCTCAGGGACCAGGGACCCCACTTCATGTCGGCCCCGCCCCGGGGCTTGTGGGAGACGCACGGGGCCCGGCTCCCCTGGACCCCAGCGTAGGGCACCCGGCCCAGCGGGCTGGTGGGGAGGTTCCCGGGGACCCCGGAGCAGATGCTGGAGGCCTTTAAGCACCAGCACCCGCAGGACTGGGACGAGTCGCTGCCCCCTGCTGTCTGCACAGGGAGGCGCCCCGAGGGTCTGCCAGGTTCTCCCCAACCCTTTAAGCACCAGCACCCGCAGGACTGGGACGAGTCGCTGCCCCCTGCTGTCTGCACAGGGAGGCGCCCCGAGGGTCTGCCAGGTTCTCCCCAACCGAGCCGGGGCGCAGGGCTGGAAGACGTCCTGGCTTTCCGGGAAAGGCTCGCTGAGCTCATGGGCCCGGCCAGAGAGCCCCTGGGCAGAGCCCCCGGGGAGCAGAGGGGCTGGTACG